CAAAGTCGACTCGGAAACAAAAGTACTACTAGGGATAAACAGTGACACTTTACAACATGGAAAGGGTCAACCCATCGGGAAGAGATACAATTATCTGTGTACCTGACAATAGATAATGCAGCTCAGGAAGCGAAAACGGACAGAAATGAGGAGCGAAAGAGGCGCTTCCACACTCCAGCAATAGCTGGAGATTTCAATGCCCCCGCTGTCAATGGTGGGGAAACAGAGAAACAGAAGATTTAAATAACACGGTAACAGATGTGTGAGAACATCACGCCCAACAGCTGCAGGACACACCCGCCTCCTGAAGGCACACGGAACGCTGAGGAGCACATACTCGGCCAGCCTCTGCGAACCTAACTGGACAGAAATACCACTACATTCGGGGACCACGATGGAATGGACGTCAACAGCAGAAAGAAAACTGGGAGAGCTGCAAATATGTGGGAGTTAAATAAGCCGAAGAAGAAATTAAAAGGACATCTTGAAATTCTTCGGGGTAAATGATAACGAAGACACGACACAGCACAACTTGCAGGGTGCAGCTGAGGCCGCGCTCGGGAGCACGTGCGGGGCTGTCGGTGATCACGTCAAGAAAGAAAGGTCCCCAGCTTTCCAACCTTCCATCGTAAGACACTGGAGAAAGAGACACACTGGCTCTTAAAAAAGCAGAGGGAAGGAAACAGTGCGAGTCTGGAAATGAGTGAAACAGACTAGAGAAGCAAAGGAGGAAAATCAATGCAACCAAAACTGCTTCCTGAAAACAGCAAGCAAAAACAACAAGCTAACAGCCAGACTGGCCAGGCAAAAAACGGGAGATGAAAACTAGAATCAGATGAGAAAACGAGGGGCCATGGCGCCCAATCTTACAAAAATACAAAGAATTATAAAGGAACGCCAGTGTTGCTGAGCATGAGGAGAAATCAGGGCCTCTGTGCACTGCGGCCGGGGAGGGGGAGGGAATGTAAATGGTGCAGTCACTTCAGAAAACGGTCCAGCGTTTCCACAGTTAAATACAGAAGTACCACTTGTGTATCCTTGTGCTCTGTGCTCAGCTGGGTCCAACTCTGAGGGACCGTGTGGACTGTAACCCTCCAGGCTCCTCTGTCCATGGGATTCTCCAGGCAAGAGCACTGGAGTGGGTTGCCATTTCCTCCTCCACGGCATCTTCCGCACCCAGGGATCAAACCTGAGTCTCCTGTGTCTCCTTCACTGGCAGGCAGGTTCTTGACCACTGAACCACCTGGGAAGCCCCATACAACACAGCAATTCCACTTGCAGGGAAACCAAAACACACGTCCACACAAAAACTTGCACATGAACATTTGTTTCGGCATTATTCATAGTTCTCAGAGGGTGGGAAGAAGCCAAAAGTGCATCAACTCATGATGGATGGACACAACATGGTCTATCCGTATGGTGGAATATCATTTGAGCACAAAAAGGAAAGACTAACAGATGCTATAGCATCATTTGAAGTGAAAGAAGCCAATCCCCAAAGAAATGTCCAAAAAAGGCAAATAAATTAACACAGACAGAAAGTAGATTATGTGTTGTTTGGTGGGGGGATGGGAGGATATTGTGAATGATGGCTAAAGGGTTTGGGATTTCTCTCAGGAGTCATGGAATGTTCTAAAATGTACTGTGCATGGTTGTATATAACCATGAATATACTACAAACCACTGGACTGTAGACTTAACAAGTCACACACACACACACACACACACTCTCACAACATCAACCAGATGAACACAACAAGACACAGGTAGGAACATAATTCACACCTGAAAAAGTGAGAAAAGTTTAGCAGGACTCCTGCAATGCAACAGAGAGCATGGAAAGTAACTGCCGGGAACGTGAAGTTAGCCCAGAGCAACGATAAAGCCCTTCAGGTGCCCAGGGTGGCTGGGATGTGGCTCTGAGACTCAGACCATCCAGAGCAAAGAGCAGAACACACGCTGGCCCTGTCCTGCTCCGAGGTCTGGCTGGTCCTGGCTTCAGGAACCCCTCTCATAAAGGTGAGCCTGGAGCCCCATCCCACGGGGGTCCATGGGACCCATGCATGTCTGGCCCAGCCTCACACAGGCCTTGCCTTCCTGCCCTGAAACTGACATAAGAAAACGTCAACCACAAGGCCGAAATTCTATCCCTCAAGCACTCAAGGTATGTGGCTCTCCCCAGGGGAGCCCCTGGCTCTGTCCCCTCAAGGCCCACCCCAGCTGCCTCCCCTTTCACAAGACAGCAGTATTTGGGTGCCCACTCTTCTGAGTGGGGTCTAAATAGCACCTCAGGGACCTACTTATATGAGTGCCTGCAAGTGGAGGCCTGCCTGGAGCTTAGTTCAGATCATCACCCTGCTATGCAAACAAGAGTCATCAGGGACATAGATTTGGCTGGGGCCAAGTCTCCCACCAGAGTCCCCGCCATGCTGACCAGAGGGCAAGGACTCATCTTCCCTGGGTCTAAACCATTCAAACAGGAACAGAGTGGAGCTCCAGCAGGGGTCAGGGTCCTGCCTTGGGGAATTTGATGGTGACACTCTCAAAGTCAGGGTCAGGGTCCAGGGGTGACCTCCATCCCCGTATCCCAGCCAATGCGAGCTCTGCCAAGGCACATGGGAAGGACAAGAAGTCTGGAATCACAGCTGCTCCAGGCCTGGCCAGGCTTTCAGATGCACTCACCAGCCCCAAGGAAGCCTGTGGACAGTGTTGGCAGATGCCTGCTGAAGTGGTAGAGGAGGCCTGATGTCACTGTCCCCAATGATCAAGGCTAAAGCCATCTCAGGACACAAAGTGGAACAAGCAACCTCTATTTGGGGTCAGTCAACAGCCAGCGCTCCAAGAATTCATTCATAAGCAAAACACCTGTTGTTACCTTAGAAACACAAGCTAGGACTGAGCTGCTGCTTCTCGTTCATGAGAAGAGCGGACAGATCTGGCAGTTCTGTAGAAGATGGAAGATTAGACACTGAAGACGGGAACAAGTAATTTCATGAACCTGTAGTAAAAAGGAGATGAGGGAATTAGTCGAGAATTACAGAAGGGTTCTAAGACCAGGACCACAGACAGAATGGGGAGCACGCAGACAGGATCCCATCTTCCAAAGAAGAACAGGTGGACACATGTTCACTTGCAACACCTTCCAGGGTTTAGCACCAGTGCACACCTTGCATTTCAATAAAGCAGAGCAAAGAAGGGGAGGGGAAACTCTGGGTACCTTGTCCCAGGATCACAACAGATTCTGTAGGTGTGTGGACAGCATCCAGCCACACCTGGGGGCCCACTGTGACACTGCTGTCTCTGCTAACTCAGGAAGCCCTGGGTTGGGACTTCTGAGCTACAACACATCAGAGTGGACAGGTTTTGTTACATTTTCCTTTAATGTCTAAAGAAAGCAGAAGCACCAGCATGTTCGACAGTGGCTCATAAAGTAAGCGTGCTTGATATCTTCTGGGATATTCCTGATCCCACTCAGCATGTGACTGAGAAAAGATGCTCCCCAGAGAGTCCTCACACAGAGAAACTGGGCTCTTCATGGAGAGTCCAGGAGCCCCTTGGAATGATCACAGATAGCAGTGTTGAAAACACTTTTCTCACCATCTTCACATGAAACCCAACTTCAGTTATTATTCATATTCCCAATCAGCTTTTGTGTAGCTGAAAAACAGCTTGGCCGGGACATCGGATTTTGTGTGAAGTTGTTCACTGTCCAGGTTGACTATCACCCATCATGACATGGACATTTCAGATCTAAGTTGACATCCAAGAAGTAGTTATTACATTTGCAGACTTTCCCCTGGGTTCCAGCAAAGCCTTCAAAAGAAGGAGAACCCAGGACTGATGTCAGCAGGGCCCAGGGGCCCAGAATGCATGTAGATCATCAAGTGGATGGAGGGTGCTGAAGAGAGGAGGCAAGAGGCAAGGGAGCCCTAGAAATTCTGCGAAAACTCATCCTGGTTCACACCAGCAGGGTTCAGCTCTCCTCCTATTTTGAGTTGGCCAGCGTCTTCTCTGTGTAAACTCCTGGCATGCCTGTGTTCTGTCACAGGACGTCCTTCTCCAGTGGTTTGAGTCATCCCTGTTTCGTTCTGTAACGACCGCCTTTCTCTCTGGTACCCGCAGTCAGCATCTTACAATGCTGGATTTGTGGAAAAGTTAACAGCTGAAAGGGAGGCACACATGCCAAGGCCACCTGACCCTTTTCTAGACTTTCTGTTCTGTGGTGACTTTCGGTTGTACAGACAAGAACAAACTGGGGTGATTTAAGCAGAAAAGCAAATTTATGCAGGGGTTTGGGGGACAGCTCTGAGCCCAAGGGCAGGGCCGCAGGCCTGGCACCACTGGGAGCAGAGAAGGGAGAAGCCTGTCCCCCAGTTCCTCACCCAGCATCTCCATCAGCCTCACTCCCAGCCCGTGAGCCACTGGGCTTGCCTCAGTGCCTTAGTTCTGCCACCCAGGCAAGTTCTGAGTTTTCTTCTCTGCTCTGGTTCACCATCACCATGGGAGATCAGGGTCGCACAGAAATCAGATGGCATAGTCCATTAGGGTAATTCAGGGAGGGTTTAATACAGAGCCTGTATGGGTGGACACGCAGTGGGTAAGGGAACTACAGGTGATAGCGTAAGGTCCGAGGGTAGCGTAGAGGGCAGCAGCTCCCCTGGCCCAGAGGTGTGTGAGTGCAGACCCAAGGAGATGCTGCCTTGGGGGGCTGGGACCAGCAACAGGAAACCACCAATGCAGCCAGCAGGGAATAAGTATCCTGACTGGAGGGACCTCTCCTCCAGTCTCCTGCTGGGCTTTCCCACCTGCCAGACCCAACAAGGAGCCAGAAGGCAGGGAGAGCGATGCTGGCCAAACATTTCCACCTTCCACTCAGAAAGCGTCTGAAAAACGCCTTATTGCACCTGCAAGGACAGTGAGGCATCTGCACTGAAGGGCCCTGATTGGACTGCTTTGGGTCACGTGCTCATCCTCGAGCCAATTGGCTGAGACCAGGGGCGGGGTCTAGTGTGCCAATATGGCAGCCCCCATATGACCTCGGAGGTTGGCGGTAAGGAGGGCGAGCGCTGGGAGTGACGCGTGTCTGAGCTCCACCCTCCCACTCTCCCTTCGTCTCCCCTCCTGCTGTCCCTGGCCTCCCTCGTCCACCACCGCACCGCTCCCTGCTCCAGAGGGTGAGTCCGGTCCCTGCCTCCCCCAGATCCCCGTGCCCTCAGCCCCCAGCCTCACATTGTCTCCAAGGCCTGTTTCTTCTACCTCAGGAATGCCTCTGGCCTGTGTCCACTTCTCACTTCCAACGGGCCCCTTCAGGGCATGCTTTTGTCTGCTTCTCCGCCCATGTTGCTCCGTCAGCACCCCCCATCTTGACTCCCATCCGTGTGATGCACCCCTCTCAGCTATCCTCTGGTCTCTGTGACTCTCCCTTCTCCCCTCTCCATGGACCCCCTGGTCTAACATCCTCACCTCTTCTCTGCCCACGACTCTCTTGATGATGTCCCATCTTTCTCACGGCACAGCCTGAAACTTAGGGGCCAGCAGCTCCCCCATGAGGTGCCCTCTTCCACGATGGGTAGGTCTGCAGGAATGTTCCTGAAGTACCTTAAATCCAGCAGGTCACCAGTAGATCCTGCAGTTGCTGCCCAACAAGCCTGACCCCCTTCTCCAGGCACTCCTTCTGCCCAGTCGCCCAAACCAGAAACCTGGAGCCTGTTTCCCCTTCCTCTCCTCCCCAGCACCCATTCCAGCCCCAAGACTGACTGTGCCCTGAAGAGGAGAGCCTTGACTTCATCCTCTTCTTCATCCCCAGCATCACCAGTCCAGCTCACACTTCATCCTTCCTCCCCAGGATGCCTCTGAGGCCCCTTGTTTTCATTCGCTGAGTTGTTCACAGGCACTTAGGTGTCTACTCCGTGACCAGTCCGTGCTGAACACAGGGAACCCAGGAGAGAGCTGAGCACGGCTGACCCGTCTGTGCCCTGGGTCAGCTGGGATCCAGAGATGAATATTCTATGCCGGGGATGCAGTGAGCTCCCCTGCCCCACAGACATCCCCAACAAGGCTGCCTAACCTCACATATGTCTTTATCAAGATTGATAGCAAAACCAAGACTCTTTCTGTCTCATAAATGTTCAGAAGAAAAACAAGTTAGCCTCCATCGAATACCACCTGAATTGCTGGTCATTCTTGGCCTTATTATAAGTGGAACAACCAGGTACCACAAACATCAAGATTTGATATGGTAAGACATCCACATCATCACCTACTCAATGTTCTCTAAAAAATTAAACCTGAAAGCAACTCAGCCTCTAGTTCTAATTGCAACGTGCAGGTAAAGTGGAGAGAGAGGAACAAGCTAAATGACACAACAAGGACACAGGTGAACAAATCCAGATCATGGGACACTCCACAGGGTCTGTGACCTGCTTTCTCCAAGAAGCCCAGGGCACAGGGGCTGAAAGGAAGTGGAGAAGAGAGAGTGAAGGAGAGTTCACAGCCTACTGCAAGGTGGGTTGTTTGAATCCTGATTCAGATCACCTATGAAACACTTTCCTGGCTTATTTTTGTTGTTGTTCAGTCGTTCAGTCATATCTGACTCTTTGCAAACTTGTGGACTGCAGCACGCTAGGCTTCCTTGTCCTTTACTGTCTCCCAGAGTTTGCTCAAACTCATGTCTGTTGAATCAATGATGAGTGGATAATTAGGGACATTTGAATATGAACTTGTGTTTGATGGTATAAAGGAAGTCTTATTAGTCAAATATGATAATAGTGTGTGTGGTGCTTATGGAGGAAAAAATCTTTATCGATTAAAGATGCAAGCAAAAGTGTCTACAGGTAAAATGTCAGGATGTTTGGCATTTAATCTACTTTAGAAAAAGGGACAAGGGAATGGATAAAACAAGATTGGAAACATTTACAATGCTTGCATACGGGTTATAGGCACATCATTTTATCCTCTCTACTTTTGTAAGTATTTTTAAATTTTCTGTAATGGAGAGAAGGAAAACAAAACATTTATCAATTTTGTTGTGTGTTTTTAAAGAACAAACATTTTCTGTTAGTTTATAAGGAATTCTATTTTCAACACTAAATTATGTTTTTTGCAACAAATATTAAGCAGTTAATGAAAATACTTAAATTCTCCAATCAATGCCTGAGGATCTTGGCATGAAAATACTTTGTCTCAACTTGGTAGCTGTCTTTTCATTGCTTAGAGCAAAATGAAAATCTTCTCAGTGCTCAGATGTGCTTGAACATTCTTTCTTGAAAATGTAAATATACACATCTAAGTGGCTAATTATTCAGGTTTCTATTTAATAACAGATTCTATTTTTATTAAAAAAATCTATCACTAAAATTATGTGAGATGAATTACCTTCCATGACTTTTCAAGGACAGAAAAAAACAATTTTAATATCCTATTTTTTCCTCGTAGAAAAACATGAATGTTCACACATTACAGATGAGCAAATTAGACAAGCTTCAGAATAGAAGTAGATTGAATCTGATTAAATTTGGCCTTAATAAAGCCAGAGGGAGAAAATTAACTGGTTTTTTTTGTTATTGTGCAGTGTCTGTTTATTTGGAAAAGTAGTCATATATGATAAAGATGTCAGGGGAAAATCCTTAGACTAGACAGAGTAGCAAACAGTGAGGCAAAGATTGTCATGCTTTTCCTGATAAACTCTGAAATACTTATTTTGAAGTAGCTCAGTCAGAAGTTCCCTCAAAAGAAGCACTAGCCCACCTCTAGTTTTCAATTATTTGTTGTAATTCACTCACTAAGTCACATCCAGCATATCTAACTCTTTGCAGCCCCTTGGACTGCAGCACACCAGGCTTGCCTGTCCTTCACTGTCTCCTGGAGTTTGCACAGATTCTAGTCCATTGAATCAGTGATGCTATCTAAACATCTGATCCTCGATGGCCCTCTTCTCCTTTTGCCTTCATCTTTCCCAGCATCAGAGTGTTTTCCAATGAGTCGACTCTTCCCATCAGGTGGCCACAGTATTGGAGCTTCAGCTTCAGCATCAGTACTTCCAGTGAAGATTCAGGGTTAATTTCCTTTAGGATTGACTGGTTTGAGTACTTGCAGTCCAAGGGACTCTCAAGAGTCTTCTCCAGCACCACAGTTCAAAAGCATCAATTCTTTGGCAGTCAGCCTTCTTTATGGTCCAACTCTTACATCCATTCATGACTACTGGTAAAACCATAGCTCTGACTAGATGGACCTTTGTCAGCAAAGTGATGTCTTTACTTTTTAATATGCTGTCTCGGTTTGTCATAGGTTTCCTTCGAAAGAGCAATCGTCTTTTAATTTCACAGCTGCAGTCAATGCCCCCAGTGACTTTGGAGCCCAAGAAAATAAAATCTGTCACTGCTTCCACTTTTTCCCATGCCATGAAGTGATGGGACTGGATGCCATGATCTGAGTTTTTTGAATGCTGAGTTTTAAGCCAGCTTTTTCCATGCTTCTCTTTCACCCTCATCAAGTTAATTCCTCTTCAGTTTCTGCCATGAGAGTGGTATCATCTGCATGTCCAAGTCTGTTGATATTTCTGCTGGCAATCTTGATTCCAGCTTGGGATTCATCCAGCCCATAATTTTGCATGATGTACTCTGTATATAAGTAAAATAAACAGGGTGACAATATATAGCCTTGTCATACTCCTTTTCCAATTTTGAACTAGTCAGTTGTTCCATATAAGGTTCTAACTATTGTTTCTCGACCCACATACAGGTTTCTCAGGAAAAAGGTAAGATGGTCTAGTATTCCCATCTTTTTTAAGAATTTCCCACAGTTTGTTTTGATTCACACAGTCAAAGTCTTTAGCTTAGTTGGTGAAGTGGAAATAGCTATTTTTCTGGAATTCCCTTGATTTCTCTGTGAGCCAGTGGATGTTGCCAATTTGATCTCTGGTTCCTCTGCCTTTTCTAAACCCAGCTTGTACATCTGGAAGTTCTCAGTTCATGTAGTGCTGAAACCTAGCTTGAAAGATTTTGAGTGTCACCTTACAGCATGGGAGATGAGCACAACTGTATGGTAGTCTGAGCATTCTTTGGCATTGCCCTTCTTTGGGATTTAAACAAAAACTGACCTTTTCCAGTCCTGTGGCCACTGCTGAATTTTCTAAATTTGCTGACATATTGAGTGCAGCACGTTAGCAGCAGCATCTTCTAGGATTTTAAGTAATTCAGCTGGAATTCCATCACCTCCACTAGCTTTGTTCGTAGTGATGCTTCTGAAGGCCCACTTGACTTCACACTCCAGGATGTCAGGCTCTAGATAATTGACCACACTATCATGGTTCTCTAGGTCATTAAGACCTTTTTTGTATAGTTCTTCTGTGTATTCTTGCCACCTCTTTTTAATATCTTCTGCTTCTGTTGGGGCTTTACCATTTCTGTCCTTTATTGTGCCCATCCTTTCATGAAATGTTCCCTTGATATCATTAATTTTCTTGGAGAGATCTCTAGTCTTTTCCATTCTGTTGTTTTCCTTTATTTATTTATTTTTGTACTGTTCACTGAGGAAGGCTTTCTTATCTGTCCTTAGTATCCTCCAGAACCTGCATTCAGTTGAGTATATCTTTCCCTTTCTCCTCTGCCTTTTGCTTCTCTTCTCTCAGCTATTTGGAAGGCCTCCTCAGACAACCACTTTGCCTTTTTGCATTTCTTTTTCTTGTGGCCGGTTTTGGTTACCACCTCCTGAACAGTGTTAAGAACCTCCATCCATAGTTCTTCAGGCACTCTGTCTACCAGATCGAATCCCTTGAATCTATTCATCACCTCCCAGATAGAAGGGCAAAGGGAAGAAGCAAGAATTGCAATCCCATGGCCTTCGGAATGAAAACCACAATCACAGAAAACTAACCAAAATGATCACATGAATCACAGGCTTGTGTAACTGAATGAAACTATAGCCATGCCATGCAGGGCTGGGTGGGTCATGGTGGAGAGTTCTGACAAAACTCTGGGTGGCCACTGGAGAAGGGGATGGCAAACCACTTCTTGCCTTGAGAACCCCATAAACAGAGTGAAAAGGCAAAAAGAAAGGACACTGAAAGATGAACTCCCTAGGTCGGTAGTTGCCCAATATGCTCCTGGAGATCAGAGGAGAAATAACCCCAGAAAGAATGAAGGGATGGAGCCAAAGCAACAACAGCACCCAGTTGTGGATGTGACTGGTGATGGAAGTAAAGTCTGATGCTGTAAACACCAATATTCCATAGGAACCTGGAATGTTACATCCATGAATCAAGGCAAATTGGAAGTGATCAAACAGGAGATGGCAAGGGTGAACATCGACATTTAGGAATTAGCAAACTAAAATGGACCAGAATGGGTGAGTTTAACTCAGATGACCGTTATATCTACTACTGTGGGCAAGAATCCCTTAGAAGAAATGGAGTAGCCATCATAGTAAAACAAAGAGTCTGAAATGCAGTCCTTGGAGGCAATCTCAAAAACGACAGAATGACCTCTGTTTGTTTCCAAGGCAAACCATTCAATATCACAGTAATCCAAGCCCTAACTAGTAATGCTGAAGAAGCTGAAGTTGAATGGTTCTATGAAGACCTACAAGACTTTCTAGAACTAACACCCCAAAAAGATGCTCTTTTCATTATAGGAGACTGAAATGCAAAAGTAGAAAGTCAAGAGTTGCCTGGAGTAACAGGCAAATTTGGCTTTGGAGTACAGAATGAATCAGTGCAAAGGCTAATAGAGTTTTGCCAAGAAACTCACTGGTCATAGAAAATACCCTCTTCCAACAACACAAGGGATGACTCAACACATGGACATCACCAGATGGTCAACACTGAAATCAGATTGATTATATGCTTTGCAGCCTAAGATGGAGAAGCTCTATACAGTCAGTAAAAAACAAGACCAGGAGCTGACTGTGGCTCAGGTCATGAACTCCTTATTGACAAATTCAGACTTAAATTGAAGAAAATATGGAAAACCACTATACCATTCAGATATGACCTAAATCAAATCCCTTAAAATTATACAGTGGAAGTGACAAATAGATTCGAGGGATTAGATCTACTAGACAGAGTGCCTGAAGAACTACGGATGGAGGTTCATGACATTGTACAGGAGGCAATGATCAAGACCATACCCAAGAAAAAGAAATGCAAAAAGGCAAAATGATTGTCTGAGGAGGTCTTACAAATGGCTGTGAAAAGAAGAGAAGTGAAAGGCAAAGGAGAAAAGGAAAGAAATATCCATTTGAAAGCATAGTTCCAAAGAATAGCAAGCAGAGGTAAGAAAGCCTTCCTTAGTGATCAATGTAAAGAAATAGAGAAAAATAATAGAATGGGAAAGACTAGAGATCTCTTCAAGAAAATTAGAGATACCAAGGGAACATTTCATGCAAAGATGGGCTCAATAAAGGACAGAAATGGTATGGACCTAACAGAAGCAGAAGATATTAAGAAGAGGTGGCAAGAATACACAGAAGAACTGTACAAAAAAGATCTTCATGACCCAGATAATCACGATGGTGTGATCACTCACCTAGAGCCAGACATCCTGGAATGTGAAGTCAAGTGGGCCTTAGAAAGCATCACTACGAACAAAGCTAGTGGAGGTGATGGAATTCCAGTTGAGCTATTTCAAATCCTGAAAGATGATGCTGTGAAAGTGCTGCACTCAATATGCCAGCAAATTTGGAAAACTCAGCAGTGGCCACAGGACTGGAAAAGGTCAGTTTTCATTCCAATCCCAAAGAAAGGCAATGCCAAAGAATGCTCAAACTACCGCACAATTGCACTCATCTCACACGCTAGTAAAGTAATGCTCAAAATTCTCCAAGCCAGGCTTCAGCAATACGTGAACCGTGAACTTCCAGATGTTCAAGCTGGTTTTAGAAAAGGCAGAGGAACCAGAGATCAAATTGCCAACATCCGCTGGATCATCGAAAAAGCAAGAGAGTTCCAGAAAAACATCTATTTCTGCTTTATTGACTATGCCAAAGCCTTTGACTGTGTGGATCACAATAAACTGTGGAAAATTCTGAAAGAGATGGGAATACCAGACCACCTGACCTGCCTCTTGAGAAACCTGTATGCAGGTCAGGAAGCAACAGTTAGAACTGGACATGGAACAACAGACTGGTTCCAAATAGGAAAAGGAGTACATCAAGGCTGTATATTGTCACCCTGCTTATTTAACTTATATGCAGAGTACATCATGAGAAATGCTGGGCTGGAAGAAGCACAAGCTGGAATCAAGATTGCCGGGAGAAATATCAATAACCTCAGATATGCAGATGACACCACCCTTATGGCAGAAAGTGAAGAAGACCTAAAGATCCTCTTGATGAAAGTGAAAGAGGAGAGTGAAAAAGTTGGCTTAAAGCTCAAAATTCAGAAAACTAAGATCATGGCATCTGGTCCCATCACTTCATGGCAAATAGATAGGGGAACAATGGAAACAGTGGCTGACTTTATTTTGGGGGGTTCCAAAATCACTGCAGATAGTGATTGCAGACATGCAATTAAAAGATGCTTGCTCTTTGAAGAAAAGCTATGGCCAACCTAGACAGCATATTAAAAATAAGAGACATTACTTTTCCAACAAATGTCCATCTAGTCAAAGCTTTGGTTTTTCCAGTAGTCCTGTATGGATGTGAGAGTTGGACTATAAAGAAATCCGAACACTGAAGAATTGATGCTTTTGAACTATGGTGTTGGAGAAGACTCTTGAGAGTCCCTTGGACTGCAAGAAGATCCAGCCAGTCCATCCTAAATGAAATCAGTCCTGAATATTCACTGGAAGGACTGATGCTGAAGCTGAAACTCTAATACTTGGGCCACCTGATGCATAGAACTCACTCATTGGAAAAGACTCTGATGCCAGGCAAGATTAAAGGCAGGAGGAGAAGGAGATGACAGAGGATGGGATGGTTGGATGGCATCACCGACTCAATGGACATGAGTTTGAGTAAGATCTGGAAGTTGCTGATGGACAGGGAAGCCTGGCGTGCTGCAGTCCATGGAGTCGCAAAGAGTCAGACACGACTGAGTGACTGAACTGAAATAACCATTGTATCTACTACTGTGGGTAAGAATCCCTTAGGAGAAATGGATTAGCCCTCAGTCAACAAAAGAGTCCAAAATGCAGTACTTGGGTGCAATCTCAAAAATGACAGAATGATCTTGATTCTTTTACAAGGCAAACCTTTCAATATCAGAGTAATCCACATCCATGTCTCAACCACTGATGCTGAAGAAGCTGAAGTTGACCAGTTCCATGAAGACCTACAAGACTTTCTAGAACTAACACGAAAAAAAGATATTCTTTTCATCATAGGGGACTGAAATGCAAGAGCAGGAAATCAAGAGATACCTGGAGTAACAGGCAAGTTTGGCCTTGGAGTACAAAACGAAGCAGGTCAAAGCCTAACAGTTTTGCCAAGAGGACGCACTGGTCATAGCAAACACCCTATTCCAACAACACAAGGGATGACCCTACACATGGACATCACCAGATGTTAATACAGAAATCAGATTGATTATCTTCTTTGCAGCCAAAGGTGGAGAAGCTTTATACAGTCAGCAAAAACAAAACCAGGAGCTGACTGTGGCTCAGATCATGAACTCCTTATTGCCAAATTCAGACTTAAATTGAAGAAAGTAGGGAAATTCAGGTATAACCTAAATTCAGTAGGTCATTCAAGTATAACCAAAATCAAATCCCTCATGATTTTACAATGTAAATGACCAGTAGATTCAAGGGGATTAGATCTGATAGACAGAGTGCCTGAAGAACTATGGACAGAGGATCGTAACATTGTTCAGGAGGCAGTGACCAAAACCATTCCCAAGAAAAAGAAATGCAAGAAGGCAACGTGGTTGTCTGAGGAGGGCTTACAAACCATTGAGAAAAGAAGAGGAGCAGAAAGCAATGGAGAAAGGGAAATGGCAAACCATTTTCCTCCTCTCTTGGATGAGGACATGGCAAACCACTCCAGTGTTCTTGCTGCGAGAATCCCAGGAACAGTATAAAAAGCTACAATGAATTCTCTAGAAAAGCAGCCTTCTCGAGTGTGCTTTGAATTTCAGTTGAGTCTTCCAGGAACACAACCATAATAACTAGGGACGCCATGTGCGTATTCCTCACTGAACGTGGAGCAGGGAGTCCCCTCATGAACCCTGTCTGGACATGACTGGGAGGGAAGTGCTCCTCAGCTGTCAGTGGCGAGAGCAGGTCCCTCCTCTGGATGCCGGCTCCCAAGTTGAAGAGCTGCTCTTCCACACGGCACGGATGAGACATGAGCTCGTCCGGCCCTGCTGCACAAGCAGGGCGTTCACCGGCAAGCCTTATTAAGGAAAGACATAAATGATTCCTGACACATGTGGTCTGGGCTGTGCCTGGCTCCATCATCTCCTCCCATTTCCTGCAGTTTCCTTTCCCGCCGTCCAGCCGCTCCGAGAGCCGGTCCCTGCTCACATATGGCCGCGCTGGCCCCACTGAAGCGAAACCACTGGGGTAGCAGGGGCGGGGGAGACCGCAGCTCTCCTGAGTCCGGGGCACTGGAAGGTCGTCATGGCCTTGATGCCTGGGGCCCTTGCCACCGCAGAGGGTAGGTGCGTGGCATGGGCTGCAGGGAGCTGGCCACAGGAGGGCAGCATGGGGCGCCCCGGTGACGGGCCTGGTGCTGTCAGGAGAGCAAGGCTGTGCATGCATGTCGTCGGGGGCCATCCGACCAGGAACACGACCAGCAGGGACCAGGCGCCCAGCCACCTTGCAGGCACTCAGATGGCCCACGGCACCGCAAGCAGGAAGCAGGTGGGGCAGGGCCCCTACTCACTGCCCACTGCCCCCCTCGCCACCATGCATGACGCAGCACAGGCCCCCTCTGTGCTGTAGGGCTTTTCTTGCTGGGCCCACTTCTCCCCATTCTGTCCAGGCAGAGGCAGCCGGGGCCAGGGTGGAGGCTGTCTGAATGGCTGGTTTCCCCCCAGAAATGCTTCTCCAGGTGATGGGCAGCAAGCTGGGCTCAGCGCCTGGACCCCATCACCTGGAGGGGCCCCGAGGCCCCAAGTGGCTTGTATCCTGGGCGGGTCCTCTGACACACACACACACACTGCTCCCAGGAAGGCAATGCATCCAGCCAGGGCCAGCCCTCCAGGGAGTGGGAAGAGTGAGCCCCAAACGTCAGGGCGGCAGCTGGCCTGCTGCCCTCAAAGCCCCTTGGTGCTCCAAGGAGGGCGTGTGTTGGGCGTTGGTGTCCCTTCTGTCCAGAAGCGTCTCCGGCCAGGCCGGCCCATGTTCTCCTTGTCACTCCCCAGGTCTCCATGACGACAGAGGAACAAAGACCCCATTCCTGCGAGCCTCCGTCACCTCCCCAAGCTGGATAACACAGATGGAGCCTCAGGTCCTGGGAAGGACACAGGCTCAGCCAGCAGCCTCCACCTGGAGACAGTCTCCACTCAGCTGAGATTGACAAAGGCCTCGGTAATATGCATACTGGAACCCATAAACTTGATCTTTTTCCACTCGGTTTTTTTTTAACAGCTTTATAGAGGCATAACTCACATACCATAAAATTTACCTATTTTAAGAGCACGGCTAAATGACTTTTCACCAGTCGACAGAGCTGTGCAGCAGCCCAATGCCAGAACATTCCCCCGACCCCAGGGGACCCCTCCTGCCCTCTGGCCACCCACCCCCACCATCCACCCAGCCCCTGGCAACCACTAGTCTGCCTTCTGCCTCTCCGGCTCTGAAACTCCGAATGTTTCAAATAAACGGAGCCCCTGCAAAACGTGATCTCTCTCTGAGCGGCTTGATCCATGCGGGGTCATGTTTCCAGCCTCATCCGTGTTGTGTCGTGTTATCAGGGCTTCATCGCTTTCTATGGCCGAATACTACCCCGCTGTGCGGATGTGCCCATCTGATGGACTCTGGGGGCCCCCCTTGGGGCTGCTTGAATGCCTCTGTACGGGGGTTTGTGTGCATGTGTTTCCATTTCGCTGGAGTGCAAACCTAGGACTGAAACTGCCGGGTCACAGGTGACTCGCTGTTTACGGAACAGCTGCCCGATTCCACTGCCGTCATCTGCACGTGAGGAGTCCAGCTTCTCCACACCTGTGTCAGCACTTGTTACTGTCTGGGCCTGTTTTCAGCCACTCTGGTGGGAGCCCACTAACCTTCATTGTAGCAGATTGTGACACGCCTCACAGCTGCTCACAGCACCCCGATTCAGCACACAGGCCCCATGGGGCCCCAGGGTCACGGTCCCTGCCCTGGGGAGCAGCGTCTAGCTCCCAGCCTCCTCACGCCGGGTCCCCAGTACCTGTCTGCATTGTTGGGACATTTGTGAAGCTGCTGCTGCAAACGCCTGGCCAGGCCGGCCACCCGAGAGCTTCAGCTCTCAGCCGTGCTTGCAGATAAACCTCACCCAGTGCCCAGACCCAGTATCACCGTGAAAGAGTCCACGGGGTCACAAGCCATCATGCGTGTCCTGTGGCTGATCTAACATGGGGATCGCTCCCCGTTTGGCCAGAGGCTGCCCAGGTAGTGCAGGAAGGGACCCCATGTCTCTGTGCAGAGGACATGTCCCCTCCCTGCCCCTTGGGCCCTGGGCAGTTGCTGCCTTGGGTCCCGCCAAGCAGGGCCACGCTGCTGGATGGGGACACAGGGGTGTTGGCCAGGTCGAGTTCCAGCTTGCAAGTCCTGCGAGGTTGCACCCCTAAACTGGGTTGGTCAGGGGAGATAGACTGCCTGGGACTTGCGGGCAGAGGTGCAGGAGTGTCCACTGGCAAGCATGTGCCCATAAACACCCCGCAGCAACGCGGGCCCTCAGTGGAGGGACTGCCACACAGGCCTCGCCGAGCGCCCAGACAGGGCGGGTCTGGGGCCTGTGTCAGTGAGGGCCCCGGCAGATGGTAACCGTCCTCCCTGGGGGTCACCGAGTGGGGGGAAGAGGCAGTGGGGTCCACAGGGCTTCAGCTTGGCGGGCCCTGCCCTCCCGGCGCCTTCCAATAATTCTCCCAGGGGTTGACTCAGGCAGCCTCCTCCCCACACAGGGCGGCTGCTGAAATGACTGTGGGTTTGGGGGAGGCAGGAGGGCGGGGCTCCATGGAAGGAGAGAGGCAGAAACCCCCATCAGCGAAGCTCACGTGTCCGGGAAGTGACACTGCCAAACCCAGAGCGGCTCCCCAGCGTTTGCTCACCCCAAGGCTTCTGTCACTGCACAAAGCAATTCTGTGCTTGCCACACTCTTGTGTGTACCTTTAAGAACATTCTCATTCAGGGGGCAAAAATTATGCAGGTTCATTAAAAAGGGTTCCAGACCTGCAGAAACACTTAAGGAATAGCAGGAGGTATTTGTAACGTGCACAATTGCTAGAATAGAAAAGGATTTTCTCTATATCAGCAAGAAAGGGGCTGAGAATGCAGCGGGCAACATGGGAGAAATCCGAGGTCAGCATGAAGCAGAGTTCTAAAGGAGGAGCCCGTGGGAAACTGGGCCTCGAGAGCAGGGCTCTGGGGGAGCGGTGGTCAGGGAGGGGACGGGCCCAACGCGTGGGGTGGGCTGCGCTGGGGAGCAACCCGCATCGTCACAGGCAGACTGACCAGACAGATCTGAGCGGCGGCCTGGAAGAGGGCCGGATCCCGGACAGGCCCCGAGCTTGGGCAGCAACTGGGTCTGCTTCACATGATGGACGCTCCCCCACCCCGGACAGGTGAGCAAGACTCCTGTCTGCTGCAAAGACCCATCACTGCCTGGCAGAAGTGCCAGGCCACGTTCCAATAAAGTTTTATTTACAAACATGGATGGTGAGTCCTCCCGCCGGCCACCCTTGATCTAGAGCATCACCCATCCCCAGGGCCAGGGAAGCGAGTCTCTCATCAGGGGGCCCCTTCTGCCTTGGAGACGCCGTGTCCCCTCTCCTCCCGGCCTGGTGGGGTCGGGTGCCTGGTGGAGGGGCGCCTCTGCTGTGAGGCGCGGGAGGCGGGGGAGAGCAGACCCTGGTGACACTGGCGTGGCCCAGTGATGCCCGGCCCGTCAGTCAGCTCTTCCTGTGACATGCTTCCCAGAGAAACCCTCACACAGCTCCGTGAGGAGACAGGCCCCTCTGGGGACAAGAGGACTTGCAGAAGGAAAGTCAGGTCAGGTCTCCCTCGGGAGACATAGAAAATGGAATGCATTAGAGCCTCTATTCTACTCACTCTAAGAATCAGACTGGTTCAGAGAGAACCCAGAGAACTGACACTGATGGGCCCGGGTTGATGGGCTGAGGATGGTGTGCGTGGAGGCGGCAGTGAGCAGTCCTGAGCAGCCGTGGACAGCGGGGAGCGGGAATAAGGAGCGTTTCTGCTCCTCCGTCACCTGCACCGCACAGAGCTGGGAAGCAGCCCAAAGCCGTGATGGGCGAGAATCAGGGAACCTGGACCGTGTTCTCCGGACAACATACACTTGAGCACTGAGGCGGGAACACCCTGCTCAGCTGCGGGCTGTCCTCACAGCCTTGCCTGTGTGTCCATCCCAAAGAAGGAATGGCACCACCGAACCCCCCGGGGCAGGGGCACACAGCATGGGCGGATTTTTAATACACAGTGGGGGTGAAACGTCAGGGAAGCAGAAGGGGCCAAGGATCCCACAACCACGTGTGTGCATCAAAAGCACGCATACAACACACGCGGCACAGACATGCACACAACACACACGGGGCACAGACGTGCACACAACACACGCGGCACAGATTTACTCAGCACAGGAGCATGGCCCCTTTTGTTGGGGTGACACAGGACATAAAAACATCAGCAAACGATTTAGGAGGGTTGCGGTACAACCATGACTGTGGGCCCGGAACGAGAGCCTGTCACCTCGATCCCTGCTGTCAGACATCCCTCCACGCCATCCACACCACAGAACCACGTGAGGAAGAAGGGAAACCGGCCAAGTTCTTCTCTTCAGCAAGACCGCCATTAACATAAGTGAGCCCGGTACGCTGAAGTGTGTACCGACAGGAGGGCAGCTGCACTCTCATGAGATGGAATCTTACTATGGATGCTCTCAACACTTCAAAGTGTATTTAATTTCACTTAACGTCAGTTTTAACATAACAAGTAAAACTAGTGCATTTTCTAAACTTGAAATATTTCTGTATCACAAGTCTGTCCCTTTTTATTCATTCATGTGCGTGTTTATGGCTGTGCTGGGTCTCTATTGCTGCGTGCGGGCTTCCTCTAGCTGCAGTGAGCAGGGGCCACTCTAGTTGTGGTGAGCAGGCTCTAGGGTGTGCAGGCTTGGTAGTTGTGGCACGCGGTCTTAGTTGCCCTTTGCATGTGGGATCTACTAGATCAGGCATCGAACACGTGTCCCCTGCACTGGCAGGCTGTCTCCCAACCACTGGACTACCAGGGAAGTCTGACTGTCTGTACTTGTGATTTTTAAAAAATTCCTTGAAATGGAATAAAAAAACAACTTAACTGGCATTGTATTTTGAAAGATCACATCATGTATGTACACACACATGCATGTACACACACTCACACATGTACACCTAATGTGTACACATACCCACTACGCACATGCATGCAGATGTACATACATGCATACAGATGCATGCATGCACACTCACACGTGTACACCCCACATGTGTGCACACAGCCACTAAACATATACACACACGCATGCACACAACCCACAGGTACACATTTTCTGTTCCATTTGCTGGGTGCACCACTTCAAGAGCACCAGTTATCCTTATGCTGGGTTGTCTTGTCTATTCTTAATGTGATTTAGGTTTATGAAACTATTAATAATCACCTCTTGGTTTACTTCAATTTACTGGGTCATCTGAAACCTTTGTGAGGTCAGGGGCTCCCACAGAGTGGCCTCGGCGTCACCTGGAAGGCCTGTCGGTCCACAGGCTGCTGGCCCCAACCTTCTGAGAATCTGTATTTGACAGGATGCTGACACCGCGTGTCCAGGGACCACACTCTGAGAACACAGCTCTGTCGATCGCTCGATTTCTGCCTTGTCTGTCTTGCTCTTTGCTGTCTATAAGTCATTTGCTGGTTCTTTATTGATACTGTTTGGTTTTCAGTTTGTTTTCTGATGTCTGGGGTCTGATTTTCATTTCGTGGCCTTTTATCTCCCGTGTCCCTGTTCTTATCACATCTCTCAGGCAGAGCGTGGGAGGAGACTTGGTTCTGTTCTCTGGCTGTTTCTCCCAAGTCAGCTGTGTAGTCGTCTTGCTCTGACCCTGTCCTGTGCCCTGAGCCACTTATTCTCCTGTGGCTATTTGCACACCCCTGGCCTCCCCACCCCTTTCCATCTTGTTCAAGCCTGAGCGACTGTCCACGTGTCCGTGTGTTTGTAACCCTCGTCCCTCAAAGCTTGGCAATGGTTTGCTTTCCCATCAGAGGCATGGATACTTGTGTTCTGGATGCTGTGGGAAGCTCGGGGAGGGGGGCGCTGGTAGCAGAAGGGAGGTCTAGGAGGAGGGGTGTTGTTAGAAGCAGCCTAGCCTTGCTTCCTCCTGCAATCTGTGGGATGTCCTGGACTCACAGGGGAAGGGAGGTGGGTCCAGTTCCAGATCCCAGGCCCATGGCTGGTGTGCCTGGAGCCTCCATGCCCTCCTGGGAGGGTCAGCCCACATCTGCCCCATTTCTGCTGTTCCACAACTTCCCAGGGTCGGTATGTGCAGACGAACTGGGGCTCCCAGCCCCCGGTCACCGGCCGGCGTGGCTCTGGGGCAGGGGGGCAGCCCGGGGACCATGTGGTCTGCACCTCTGCTCCGCGGGGGAGCTGTCCC